ATATATGAACTCAGTTAAATGACCTTGCTCTCCATGAGTTCTCGTAGCTCAGTGGATAGAGCGTCCGCCCGGTGTTCGGGAGGTCATGAGTTCGATTCCCGTCGGGGACTCAGAATTTTTCTTTGTCCCACGCTCGTGTCATGTTGATTAATTCACCTTCACATAGGTATAAGTAGTAGCTTTGTTCTTGTGGAAGAAATAGTTTAAATTATAGCATTTTGTTTTCAGGTGCAGACAGATGAACTCGAATCACATCTTGAATGTGCAGCTGAAAAGTCACCTCGATTTAGCATGCGGTGAGTTAAGGGACACCCAGGAAAATGTAAAAGAGAAGATCACATATTTTCACAGACTTGAAGAGAGGTTAAATATTTTAGACGAGCGACTTGAAGAGAAAGTAGATCACACCCAACATCAGCTTCGAAACAGTGTAGATTTCCTGCAGCAGCAATACCAACGGAGAGTTGGTATCCTTCAAGAGCAGCTTGAACAAAAAGTAAAAACGTGCCAAACAAAACTAGAGCAGAAAATTATTATGAAGCGCACAATGTTTTGGGCTTGTTTGGTGTTGGGACTTGTGTTTTTAACATTTTACCTGACGAAACTTGAAAAGAATGTCGACATATTAAAGGTGGATACAGAGGAATCCCGCATTTTTATATGGAAGATAACAAGCTTTGAAGACAAATTGAGAGAAGGAAAAATCCAAAAAAATTGGGTCATTCAAAGTGATCCGTTTTACGGGTATGGCTACAAATTGATACTACAGTTGTACCCAAATGGCTGTGGCGTTGGAAAGGACACTTATCTCTCCATAAGTATTGGTGTATTGAAAGGTGAATATGACGCCATATTCCCCTGGGGGCTCTCAAAGCCAGTAATATTTGCGTTAATCGATCAGCAAGATAATCCAAATCAACGACAAAACCTTGTTATGGGATTTCTTGCAGACCCAAATAATGCAGTCTTTAAAAAGCCCGTAGAAGAGAAAAACAGTTTAATGTATGGATTTCTACAATTTGTATCACATAATGACCTCAAGACAAGACGGTTTGTTGTTGACGACACCTCATTCATCAAAGTTCAGTTAGATTCACCCAAAGCTAAAAAGTTATGGTTTTAGCTTTAACCGTTTATACCTCAAAGGTTGCCAATGGTATGGCATGGCATGGCAATGTTCTTGGAAAAGGATGTTTTCGTGGTGGCAATACATGCACATATTTTGACGGGCATACTTTTTCAACTTTGAAATTTCTTGTTTTTATTAATAAATTTAACATTATGTGGCTCAGGCTATTTCACTTTTAGGACTCACTTAGAGCCAGCTAACATTTTTTCCGCTCGATTCGATTCGAACTCATCGTAGTTCTCAAAAATATATTAAGCTGCACACGTGCCCCTCGCCAGTAGTATATGTTCAAAATTTGTCTCAAAGGCGAGGGAATTTCTTTTACACGGCCCGAGAAGAATGTCAAGCGAAAGCAAGGCTTCGTAATCTTTTGCTCAAATTTATCAGCGGAAAATACGAAAATACTAAATATGGAACAGAAGTTGAATCTTTACGAATTGTTAGTTTAAGGTCATTCCTCACATTTGCATTGCACATCCTTACTGCGCATAATTTATGGCGTCATTAGCGCGCGCTCGTGCACGCGCACATTGAAAAAATGACAGATTTGCCTTGATATTGAGCTCTGTCAGTTGAAAAATGGCTCTAGCTCACCAACGAGCACGGGAACCCCAATTTTTTTTCCAGTCATTGTAATCAACTAATCATAAGCTTTGCGTGAGAAAAGACTGATCTAATTTCTATTGAAGAAAATTGAATAAATAAGAAAAATAGCAGATACACTGTGGTCTTTTCTATTTTGCAGTCGGTAACCATGTCAAGAAATTTGGTTCAAATTTTTAATCAAGGATTTAGCTTTCTGTCTGAATCAAACTTAAAACGTTTATTTGTGGTCCGACACAWTGTATTGACTGTAGTTTAATGCGTGTTCTTATGAGTCCGGGCTYACAAAGATGTTACAATTACTGGGAATGCGTTCTTATAATAAGCATTAAATAATGCCAAAATGGGGCATTTTCAATGCCTCACTGCTCCTTAATGAGCATGGGCACCCCCCTTTTTTTATTTCAAAATTAAAGTGACAAATGACAAAATATTCAGTGGACAAAGTTTGAACAAAAATCTATTGTCACTTTTATTTCAGAGGAATTACCTTAATGCATTTTGCAATCTTTCCTCTACGTTGTAATGTGAACGAAACCTGAGTGACGTATACATTGTTTCAGTCTGTTACGACTACAGCTATATAAGTATAAATTTACAGAATTATTACGTTTGACCCTTTTCAGTTACTCTCTTTAATAAGGCATTATGTTTTATTCTGTTGAGACACGACATCAATTCAGATGAACTTTTCATATTACTTGGTGAAGTTTGATGATGATGCTGAAGTAAATAGGAGATTTAAACAATAGGTAACTATAATCTTATGTTGTTATGTTTGTATGTATTAATAAGAGCAATGGTGTGGCATGTCAATGTTCTTGGAAAAGGTGTTTTCTTGGTGACTTTATTTTGTCAAGCATGTTTTTTCAACTTTGGAATTTTCTTGTTTTTATCATTGAGATGTAGCTTTATAAAGTTCAAGTTATTTCATTTTCTGGACTTTTTGTGATTGTATACGTATCGATTCGATCGAATCGAATCGTGGGAATCGAGTCGAATCGTTAACAATTTGACACCCCAGTTATCGCCTACCGCGAGTCGACTTCCATTCAGACAATTCGACTCTGCAGGAGACGATTCCGGACGAATCTTCTTGAATCGTGAAGTACCTCTATCGAATCGACTCTCAATTTGTTGTCACGTTTTAAGAACGAGAGAGGCTCATGTGATCATTTTCATGGGTGCGTATCGACCCGTGCGAATCGAGTCGAGTCGTCAAGTATCTCAGGCGAATCGACTGAAGTTTGTTGTCACGTTTTAAAAACGAGTAAGGTTCATGTATCATAATTTCACTGGACTTGACTTCCGGTGATGCGGATCGAGCGAATCGAGTCGAATCGTCAAGTACCTCAGACGAATCAACTCAGCTTGGGTGTATTGGACATGGTATAGTCTTCCTGTTTACAACGGCAGCTATATAGGTATACATTTACAGGATTATTACTTTTTACCCTTTTCAGTTACTTTTGTAGGGCATTATGCTTTATTCTGTTGAGACACTACACGGCATCAATTAAGATGAGTTTCTTTTGAAGCTCGATGACGATGGTGAAGTAGATGGGAGGTTTAAACAGTAGGTGAAATATAATCTTATGTAGATATACACGTATTGTTACCAGGCTAGCAGAGCCGCTTCGATCGATCGAGCCGAAAATTGTGAAAAACTATTGTTAAACCTTAATAAATATTGCTTACCTGAACTCCAGTGGTGGTTCCTTCGTGGTCTGTAAGGTTTTCTCAATCAATCGTCATTTGCACTCACTCTTGCTGAAAAAAATACAATGTTCAATGAAAATATTATATTTCTAACGGCTTTGTTGCGTTTCCATCGAGTTATAGTTCCACCGTTTGCCCTAGCTCTCTTTGAAAATTTTTTTAAGGTTGGGTACTCGAGCCGAACGCCCAGCGGGCCGCTTGACGGAAAGCGGCCGTAAAATCCCCTCAAGGGTTCTGATTCACGCAGAACACAAACGACAGTTCTGCTACCCATTCTTGCTCTTCATCAGAAATCCATCTTCACGGAAAGGGAATTAAAGGTCGCCAATCTCTAAAGACTTTTTCGTCGAGACACTTCGACA